TTTTAATCCTTAAATAAACCATTAAGTTGATTAAATGAAATAATTATATGACGAGGATAATTATACTTACTATCTGAGGATTTATGTAATTCTCTAATATTACCTTACGTTTCTAATGAAATTTTATTTACCTGTTAAGTTAAACGTAAGCTCCAACAGACTAAAATTCAAAGTTTATTTAAGGCTTAACATGATTAATTGTTCTATCGTTAGTCATATTTGCGTAAAGTTTTGAATCTTCCTCTTGCGAATAGGTTTTCTTTCTATGAAAAAGTATCTAAATACTGACGAGCATAGCACGTGAAAAACGTCCGTACAAAATACTGGGTTTAAAAATAATGAATTTTTTTATAACGCAAAAAGATTCCATTTTATCCGTAATTTGTGTTTGAACATATAATTTTCATAAATAAATGTTCAAGAAAATTCATCGACATTTACTTCAAAAAAAACTTATGAAAAATACGGTTTTTTAAATATATTGTTTAAACAAATTCTTGTTAAATTCATTGTTCAAAAAACACTAGTTTCATCGATTTACACAAAAACTATATTTTCAGTAATTTCCGAGATATTCGAACGAAATATATCCCGAGCCCTCAACTTTGAGGGTAGTTTCCACCCTTTCAACATCAACGATTGCCGATAAAAGAACGGGGGTCAAATATTTTTTCGAACACTACATTTGTGCCAAATTCCATCGAGATCGGTGATTTATACTTCTGTATATTCCCTTTGAGAGTGTCGTCAAAGAGCCAAGTAGAATAGAAGCAATGTTAATCAGACACAGCTATACGAGGTACTGAGATTAATCATCGACAACGATCTCGGCGAAACACGCCGTCAAACTCGGAATCGAATATCTCATCATCGATTCCTCTGTTCAACACTCCCAACTTGCACTTCCAGTGCCATAAAACGTCCCATTCCTCGGCCAAAGCATCGTCGCCAGCCAATTCGCTCCGAGTCGTCAACTTTCGACCAACGAAACTTCAGTGCCTGCGAACGGCACATACGCTCGTCCATAAGCGACGAAATTTATCCGGCACATAAACAGAAATCGCGTTGGCGAGACCTAAAGTACAGGCGTCGTAAAAATGTACAGGCTCGATGTTCGAGCAAACAAGAGAGAGAGAGAGAGCGAGAGGGAATGAAGTGCCGAGGCTGGGGCGGCGTAAAACCGCGCGGAAACGCGTGGACACGAGGTCGAACGATGGACAAAAGCCCGCTGTCACGCGATCGTCGGCCAAAGGCGCGGACGGATAACAAGCGTTTAACGTATTTTCGCGAAAACATCGGTCGGTCACGTACTCGTCAACCCCGACGCGCGCTCGTAACCAACCGAAATGAAAGTGAGTAAAAGTTTATACTATTGAGCCGAGCAGAACGAGCCGCGTACATCGTCGAAGCACGTATCATCAGTATTTTATATATTTTATCGTTATCTCTAATTATTAACTAGCTACTAGTGGCTAGTAGCTCGTAGACTACGCCACTGTAATGGCGCATCGCTTGTTTCTCTGTATACACCTGTTATCTCGTCACGATTTTTCAAATTCTTTGTGGAGAAAAATTTTTCTCCAGTCTCTCCAGTTCTTTCAATTTCAAAATTTTTATCTATTCTAACGTGATTGTCTTATATGCAAAGCACCGCCGAATATCAATTTCATTGTTACGCCGTTTTGCGTCAGCTAGTGCCGTGCAGAAATTTTTATAAAAAAAAAAACATCGGTAACTGAAACTTTATCATCTAAGTTGAGAATATTAATCTCATAGTGTGAAGGAAATTCTTCAAAGAACTACGCGATTAAAAGATTCCATATTTTCGCTACGAACAACAATTATCATTTTTTTTTCTTCTCCTTTGTCGAAATTAACATAACTGATGAAGCGAATTCTATTTCGGTCATTTATAATAGTTATTTATAAGAGAAATTTATATCAGTTGCTTAATAACAATTATGTGCAATAAGAATTCTATTTCAAACAAGGAAAACTCTACTGTTTCATATTCATATTCGACTGAAAACAATCCTAAACACATCGAAACGTGAAATTTGAAAAAGTAGGATTACCTTCTGATGTAAATCTCGCGGAAATCGAAAACACAGCACAAGCAATCAAAATAAATTTTCCTCGATAACTTAATTATGAGCAACCGAGTGTGAGTTTGCCTCGTCGAAAATTGTTATAAATAACCGAAATAAATTTTTCTACGTCAATAAACGTTAT